GGGTTTTGGGTTTTCGGTTTTGGGTTTCCGCTTCAACTTATTCTTACACACTTTGACTTCCCTTAAACTCATTCCTACACCCTTTCAATCCTAAACCTCATGAAGGTGGCCACTCCCGATGCCGATCCTGATCACCTGCTTGAGTTGGTGGCGAAGCCTTCCGGCGGAGTCGTTCATGATTCATGAGACACCCATGGCTAGGAGACCCAAAAGAAATAGAGCTAAGAACAGATGGGGGTTTCAGATAATAAAGGACCACGAATATAGACCCTCAAATAGTAGGATTCCCTTATCATAAGGACCCAATGAGGTACCCCTAATGCCGTAAACCCCCCCTCCCATGAGGCTTCTTTTGCTTTCGACTTAGACCGCACCTTTTGTTGCTGCAATGCTTAGAGTTCGGGGTTGAGGGTTGACTGATGCCTACTGTGCCCTAGAATCCCTAGACCCTACTCGGAGCAACCGAAAAACCTAGATCTACCCAAAATTTTCTGGCGACATTTTCGTTTCGAGGGGCACTTGTATGTAGGATTGACTCTTAGTTAGGTGAATCCTGACACACCCTAAACCCTAAACCCAGAAGCCTTTTTGGCCACCTTAAAACTCGATCGCGCACGTGATGGACCGCGACCGTTCTCGTGAGGTTGCCCTCCGCAACCGTGCCGGCGCCGAGAGTGCCGTGGATCTCTTTAGGGTTTAGGGTTTAGGGGTTTAGGGTTTGGGGGTTTAGGGGTTTAGGGTTCAGGGTTTAGGGCTTGAATTGCTAGTATCCTCAACTGTACGGTTTGCCTAGGATTTAGGGTGTAGGGCCTTAGGGTAAACATACGCTCAGTAGATGTGTCATGAATCATGTCTAGACGCCTCTCCACATATCTGCTTTGGGCATTTCTAGGCTGAACCCTCAACGCATGGGTTGAGGGTTCAACCGAACGAAAGCGGTGAAGGTAATGCTGAATGCCTCTGCCGATTGGATGCCCTTACAAGGAGGGGCCCCCTTGTTATAACTCTAACTATAGTTAAGGGACTTATATATCCTGAGTTAGGATCCTTATAACCCAATTTAGGGTTCTTATAACTCTACTGATAACTAGGGTTTACCCCTCCTTGTAGAAACCCCAAATCCTAAACCCTAAACCCTAAACCGTTATGTCAAGTGCCGCAACTGTTCCGAGGAGCTGTCTCAGAGTGTGCAGGGGCGACTGCGTGAGGCGCCTTGGTTCTAGCCTACCAGCCCCTAAACCCTAAACCCTGAACCCTAAACCCTAAACCCTAAACCCTAAACCCTAAACCCTAAACTCTGTAAACGGGATGGCTGTCTGTAAGGGTTGGGCTCATCGAAGCACTGCGCCCTTATCCTAAGACTTTTTGCCTCATAAAGGTCCATGGGTAGTTAGAATTCCGGAGCTGCGTACCGGAACTTGGATTGGAAAATACAGTTGCCCTACACATGGCCCTACTTGTAAGTACCCCTGCACCGACACCATACCCGGCCAGCGCTTGGTCGTGAGAGGTAGAGCAAACTGGCTCTCAAGCCCCTAAACCCTAAACCCTAAACCCAAAACCCAAAACCCTAAACCCTAAACCCTCTAGACTCGCACCATCCTGACGTCAGCTCAGATCAGAGTTGAAAGTCCAACCATGCTGGCTTGCACGAAACATCTCCGAGCAACAAAAGCATCTGTTGAAGGGGGCTTGCTGAGGCATCATTGTTTTTTTTTCAGCTGAATTTTACGAGGTAACTTGTGCTCTGACCTGAGTGTAAAATGATATACCTACCCCAAAAGTTTTATGTGAACCTTCAAGTAGGGTATACCCTAAACCCGAAACCCTAAACCCTAAGCCCTAAACCCTCTAGGGTTCAGGGCTGCTTTGCCTTTGAGCCCGAATGGAACAGGTGGCCAGCCATCACGGTGGCAAGGTGCCCCTTCACGGAAGGCTCTTTGCCCAGTGGCTGCACCATGCCTTCCCACGCGAGTGCCCGTACCCCCATGTGCAACTGGGCAGCAGTTTAGGGTTCAGGGTTGAGGGTTTAGGGTTTAGAGTTTAGGGTTGAGGGTTGAGGGTTTAGGATCACAGACACCGGCTACGATCTTAACTTAAGGTCCCCTACACTACTTATCCAAATCTTCGTTAACCTATAGGGACGAGGACCGGGAGTAGGCCCTTTTGTCCTTTTTTAGGGTTGGGATTCCCTTATAATCACCTTAAAACCAAAAAGGGCACCCTTCCTATTCCTAGGTTACTCCCGGGTCTAGGGGATCATATATCACGTCCTCATACTCTAATTACTCTGTGCCATTATAGCCCAATAGTCCGAAACAAACACGCCCTGCGGGGTTCAGAAACCCTAAACCCTAAACCCTAAACCCTAAACCCTACACCCTAAACCCTAAACCCTAAACCCCCCTAAACCCTGAACCCTGAACCCTGAACCCTGAACCCACTCACAACGGCGCCTTGAATCCCATGCAGCCGAGGTCCGGGAAGACCAACCCCATGACGGCCGACGCCTGGATGCAGGCCAAAGGACTCAGCGTCTCAGCCACCAAGGAAGCCTGGCAGCCCAGTGGCACCCTTTACCCTTTTTTTGGGTTTAGGGTTTAGGGTTTAGGGTTTAGGGTTTGGGGTTTAGGGTTTAGGGTTTAGGGTTTAGGGTTTAGGGTTCCCTCAGAAAGTAACCAACCCCACAAAAGGGTGCCTTTATTATACCATGGCTACTGGGCTACCAAGGAAGACATGACGCACTACATCTCGCAGGCAATTGGGAGGGGGGGAATCACAAAATCCCTAAACCCTAAACCCTAAACCCTAAACCCTAAACCCTAAACCCTAAACCCTAAACCCTAATTAAACCCTAAACCCTAACCTGGTTGAGGGTTCGGAGCCTCCAACGGGTGTTGGGGTGCGCCATGGCCGAAAGAATGTCCCCACAATTGTCTTCCGTAGGTTCCTCATGCAAACACATGTAAACTCCATCGGCTACACCCTAAACCCTAAACCCTAAACCCTAAACCCTAAACTCTAAACCCTAAACCCTAAACCCTACACCCTAAACCCTAAACCCTAAACCCCAAACGGGCGAAGCAGGCTGCGGCAAAGCCATCCTCCACCGAGCTCCCTTGGACGCACGAGGAGGAGCTCCTGTCGAAACCAGCCGCCCCCGCGGGTGGAAAGTCCAGGTGCCGCTGGGTTTAGGGTTTAGGGTTTAGGGTTTAGGGTTTAGGGTTTAGGGTTTAGGGTTTAGGGTTATACCCTACCAGCAGCTCCTGATTTTGACATAAGTCCTGCGTAAATTCAGGCAAGCCGAAACAGAGCCCCGTGAAGGCCCAAGTATAGACTAGATAGGTACATGGACACTTCTGGAAGTGTGCACGAGACCCTGAACCACTCAGATCTGCCAGCTGTTTCAGGGTTCTGGGTTTAGTCTTCAACGTGCGGACCCTTTTCAAGGATGAGGGCGGAAGTTGTAGCCACTGCTTCTGAAGAATATCAGGGCTTAGGGTTTAGGTTTTGGGTTTGGAGTTCTGGAAGGCGGACACCTTGTTGATAAGCTTCCGCTTCGTTCCCAGCATTTTTTGGGCACCTCTGGTCTGGTTGACTTTTCTAGATTTTAGATCTTCTGAGTCTTAGGTGCATCCTGCTCGTTTGCCCGCAGCATTTCCTTGTTTGAAGTGGACAAGCAAGGTAATTACGATGAATCGTGTTTGGCTGCATGAGAAACACGTTGTCGGGAGTGTTCCATTTTTCTCAAGAAGCGCGAGAAGAAACACACGATGTTTCTGCGTTGCCGAGAATCGTGTCTTCAAGGTTTCGATCGTTCGAGCATGGTGCTCTGGCCAATGGATGCAGTGGTAGCATGGACGTTATCATTGTTCGGGCATGGTGCTTTGGGCAATGGATTCACTGGGAGCCTGGAGTTTCTCAGGCGTCCATTGTATGTTGAAATGTTCTTCTACTAACAGTCCTTCATAGGGATTGTAGTACCCCCGATTAGAATCCCTATTTTTAGGGTCTAGTGTTTAGTATAGGGTCGTCCATGGCAGAGCGAAAGTTGCACCTGAGTGAAGGTCTACACCCCAAACCCCGATCGCAGATCCGGATGAAACCCTAGAACCTAAACCCTAAACCGAAAACCCTATAGACCCTAAACATCAACTACAGCTGGACAGAAAGTGCGGGCAAACGAGCCCGATGAACCTGCAGACTTGGTGCCTGAAATCCGCTAGACCCCGAGCTGTTTCTCGGAATCTGAACCCGAAACCGCAAACCCTAGATGGGGGGTTTCCGAAAGTAGGGTTTTGGGGTATAAAAAGGTGTACATACCCGGATTTTGGGACCTGGAAAATGCCAAAAAACCTGCAGACCCCGCAGGTCGCTTCTGCAAAGCTGCGCGCTCCTGATCGCCGCCTTCTCGGCCTGCATGGCCTTCGGCCATAGCACTTGGTCCCACGTTTGCTCGGCACGTCGAAGCACCCTCCTGCCATATGTGCAGAAGCAGCACGCCTGCTGAATGTTTAAAGGCCTCCTAGAATCCCCCTAAGCCTTAAAAACCCCTCAACCCTATAAACGGGATCACTGGAATCACTAGAATCACTAGAATCACTAGAAGGGCCCCACATCTTCGAAGCGGGTGGCTGCGAAGCAGCTCAAAAACGGGCCTTGACGGGAGTAGGACCGTCATGGCCTCAGCACGCGCCCGCGGCTTCTCGAGCAAAGAGCTGAAGCAAGCGGTTTAGGGTTGACGGTTTAGAGTTTATAGGGTTTAGGGTTTAGGGTTTAGGGTTTAGGTCTGAACTCCTGGGATTCTGGAACCCTAACAGGGACTGTATCGAACTCAGGGGTTTCGGTTCAGAGGCTTCTAAGCGCTAAACCTGAAACCCTAAACCCTGTACCCTATAAACCCTATACCCTATACACCCTAAACTCAGCGGTGTATAGGACTCCCAAGGATCCGCGCCCACACAGAGAGAAATGCAGCGCGCGTGCGCGCCTGTCCGCAGGCACTTGGAGCAACTCTTCAGGATGAGGCGCGCGAGCGTCAGGATTTGGGGTCTTAGGGTTTGGGGTTTAGGGTTTAGGGTAGAGGGGTTTAGGGTATAGGGTTTAGGATTTAGGGTTTAGGGTTGGGCTTAGGGAGGTTTAGGGTTGAGGGTTTAGGGCTTCTTGGGCTGCTCTTTCGGCCCTAGAATATACCCCGAACTGAAAAAATCTAACATTGCGCCCCAGACCCGATGCCCCACAAACCCCCGTTAACACCAGACCCCAACCCCTAAACCCTGAACCGTGAACCCTGAACCCTGAACCCTAAACCCTAAACCCTAAACCCTAAACCCTAAACCCTAAACCCTAAACCCTAAACCCTAAACCCTAAACCCTAAACCCTAAACCCTAAACCCTAAACCCTAAACCCTAAGCCAGGCCGAAGCCGAGGAGCGCACCTTGAAGGGCTTCGGAGACTTGGCGCCGGCGTCGCCGGCGCCGGTGGTCCACGTCATCCCAAGCTCCGCAGCCTGGCTTCAAGGGGGTTTAGGGTTTAGGGTTTGGGGTTTAGGGTTTGGGGTTTGGGGTTTAGGATTTAGGGTTTAGGGTCTATTGTTTAGGGTTTCGGGTTTGGGGTTTAGGGTTTAGGGTTTGGGGTTTAGGGTTTAGGGTTAGGGTTTGGGGTTTAGGGTTTAGGGTTTGGGGTTTGGGATTTAGGGTTTAGGGTTTATTGTTTAGGGTTTCGGGTTTGGGGTTTAGGGTTTAGGGTTTGGGGTTTAGGGTTTAGGGTTTGCAGTTTATTGTTTAGGGTTTAGGGGTTTAGGGTTTAGGGTTTGGGGTTTAGGGTTTAGGGATTGTGGTTTAGGGATTGAGGTTTAGGGTTAGGGTTTGGGGTTTGGGGTCGAGGGGGTAGGGTTTGGGGTTCAGGGTTTAGGGTTTGGGTTTTAATGGCGAAGGGTCTGCAGTTCCTTTCGGAGTCATGTTTTTTGTGTTCGGAACCCAAGGAATTGACAAAACATTTCAAGGGCAGTAGAGTGGGCTTCGGGGTGAGCATAGCTGTTCGGGTGTAGGGCTGGGATTTGGATAAAAAGCCCTGGCTGATAGTATGTTTCGTTCTTGTTTTTCGGTCTTGGGGTGTTTTGGGCTTAGGTTGGCAGAAGCTTCCAGGCGGTGGCCGTATTATTACAGCTACACATGCAGGTAGGCTATGTCGTGTCATGTTCCGAGCGGATGTCGTTGTTTATATTTTTTTGCGCTTTGGCGCGTGAACACGCGTGAACGCCAGGCGGGCGGGCGGGCGGGCGGGCGTGCGTGGATGCGTCCGGGCGTGCGTCCGTGCGTGCGTGCATGCGTTCGTGCGTGGGTGCGTGAGTGGGTGGGTGGGTGGGTGGGTGTGTGTGTGTGTGCGCACGCGCGCACGCGTGTGTTTGCGTGCAACCCTGTATCGAAGGGCTTTATCCGAATTTAGTCTGAAATTGCCAGAGCACGAGTGACAAATCGAATCTGGAGTCATTCCAGCCCGGAGTGTTCCTGTCAAGGTGTGAGAGCTGGCATCTGACGAGTATGATTTTTCGAAAACCTGGCAGTGAACTTCCGACGGAACTCTAGTAGTAATCTTGAAGCGCTGACGTATGCAAGCAAGGGCCATTGCGGCGTTCGATGGTGTGAGTTTGTTTATGTTTCGTTGCGTGTTTGTTTCGCTCCGGCTTGGCGTTTGAGTCCGCTGCTTTTACCAGGGAATCCACCCATGATTAACCCTCGTGGTGTCAGCACAAGCCTAAACCCTAAACCCTAAACCCAGGTTTATAGCTTTTCCTTCAACGATGCGATCTCTGAACACCGCCGTAAGGAGCCCTCCGCGAGCCCCTCTGCCAAAGATGCGGAGGCTCTCGCCCGAAACCCCAAGCAGCCTATAGGCCCCAAACCCTAGGCCCCAAGCCCTAAACCCTAAGACTTACAAGCCATATACCCTAAGCCCCAAAAAGTGCCCCAAAAGGACCCTAACACTGGACCTCCCAACGCAGCCAGGGAGCCCAACCAGCAGCTCCCAAGATCTAATAAAGTAGAAGCCGAAGCCCAAACCCACAATTTGGAGTTTACCCCAACAGCCCCAACAACCACCAACCAGCACCAAGAGCAAGAACAGCACCATGAAACCATCCCCACGCCCCAATTGATGACTCATTCGCTCGGTACTTGATCGGGATCATGTCTGAGAGTTCATGTGCTTCACCTCGGTTTAGGGTTCAGGGCCTAGGGTTTAGGGTGTTCACTTTCGTTTTCAAGTCTATGAATCATCACCGCGGTGCACGAATCCTGTTTATGACTGGCTTGTTTCCGCGCGTTGCAAGGAATGCGCGAACACACCTAAAACGCCAACTACAAAGTTGAGTCTCGTGTTTTTGTTTGTCCTTACTTCTAGGTCCTGTGTTGTGCCTCCGTTCTGACGCCCAGGTGTATGCACCTGGTGAAAGACCAAGCCCGAACCCTGAGCCCGAATTCCCATCAACCCTACATTTTTCAAAGCGTAAACCTAAGGCCCTGTAACCCTAACTAAGCCCTAAACTCCTCATGTCTACACACCAAAAACCCTATCTTCGTAAGCCTTACTCACTAAGCCCTTGAGCCCAACCTAGCCTGGAACAAACACGCAACTCTCTGGCACCCTCTCTTTGACTACTAGTTGCTTGCAAGAGCCAGCCGAAACATAAAGAATAACAATCCCAATAATGCCCTTCCAAGGAAGAATGTGTGCACTTTTTGGAGGGGTTCTTCAGCAAATAGTAGTTAAGCCCTTTTCACAAACCCTGACCCGTAGAGCCCCCCCGAAATCCCTACACCTAGGCCCTGACCCCTAAAACCCTAAGAACCCTGAGGCCCAAAACCCTAAATCCCCACAACCCCAAACCCCTAGAACCCCACAATCCTAAAGCCCTAAAACCCAAACACCCCAAAAAACTGAAACCCTAAAGCCACAAAAGTCCTACGACCCCAAAATAACCCCAAAACCCTGGAACCCTAAACCCCAAAACCCCCTGAAACCCCAAAACCCGCAACCCTAAACCCTAAACTCTAAACCCTGAACCCTAAACCCTAAACCTAAACCCTATACCCTAAACCCTAAACTCTAAACTCTAAACCCTAAACCCTATACCCTAAACCCTGAACCCTAAACCCTAAACCCTAAACTCTAAACCCTGAAACCTAGACCCCAAAACCCCAAACCCAAAACCTCAAACCCTAAACCATAAACCCTAAACCCTAAACCCTAAACCCTAAACCCTAAACCCTAAACCCTAAACCCTAAACCCTACACCCTAAACCTAAACCCTAAACCCTAAACCCTAAACCCTAAACCCTAAACCCTAAACCCTAAACCCTAAACCCTAAACCCTAAACCCTAACCCTAAACCCTAAACCCTAAACCCTAAACCCTAAACCCTAAACCCTAAACCCTAAACCCTAAACCCAAACAAAAACACAGCCCCTACACACCACAGAACCATGGAGGGCAGCAGCACGCCGCCAGCTGCTGCCGACTCGGAGTCCCAGGTGGGGGTTTCCGAAATCAGGGGGGGGGGGGGGGGGGGTGGGGGGGTACCTTATGGGGGGGGGGGGGAGGGGTTCCCTATTATGGGTTTAGGGTTTAGGGTTTAGGGTTTAGGGCTTAGGGTACCTTATTGGGTCCTTTTTCGAAGCTTCGGGTTTCACGGGTTTTGGGTTGTAGGGTGTTGGGGGTGTGGGGGTGTTGGGGTGTTGGGGTGTTAGGCTCATGTTTCGGGTTGAGGGTCTGAACAGCCACTGATCACAGCTGCTTCCCCATCCATCATGGACCACTCAAATATAAACCCTGAACCCGAAGCCTCAACCCAAATCCCTAATCCCTTGCTCGAGGCAGAGAGCGCGGAGGCTGCGGCTGAGGTGGGATGGTTTGGGGTTTAGGGACTCGGGGTTCTGCCCTTCAACCCCAGACCCCCCTAAATCCTAAACCCTAAAGCCTAAACAAGCCCTAAGCCCTAAGCCCTAAACCCTAAGCCGCACATCAACAGGTCCCCTTGTGTCTCCTAGGTCTTCTCGGGGAGCACAACAGCCGCTTTGTGTTTGAACCATGGGCCCTTTATGAGTACTGTACAAGTGCTTGCTGCCCTAAAGGTCCAGGGTTTAAGTGGGCTATGGTGGATGGGGAAGCAGCTGTGATCAGTGTTTGTTCAGAAGAGAAGTTTTCAACTGCGAAGTAGGGATATTTAGGGTTTAGGGTTTAGGATAGCCTATGCCGGTTGAGGGGTATAGAGAGAAAAGCCAGAGACACAAAGCCGGAGCATGCAACCTGATGGAACACGTGCTCTCAATCGAGACCTATATTCTCCTATACGGGAACCAACTCCAGAAAATGTACCCAATCCCTGGCACAAGGCTGAAAGCCCGGAGGCTGCGCCTGAGGTGGGATGGTTGTGGGTTTACGTAGGGTTTAGGGTTTGGGGTTTAGGGTTTTTTTGGGTTTAGGGTTTAGGGTTTAGGGTTTAGGGTTTAGGGTTAGGGTTTAGGTTTAGGGTTTCTCCCCTTCAAACCCACAACCCCCAAAGCCCTCAACCCTACAAATTCCTGGTCTTCTCTCGGGTTCCTGAATGTTGCCCCATACCTTCTTCAACAGCTTCTGAAGTATGGGCCTTGTGTTTTATAGGGTTTAGGGTTTAGGGTTTGGGGTTTAGGGTTTAGGGTTTAGGGGTATATAAGGCTTCCCCCAAAAAGGGCCCATGCCATGAAACTGCCCTAGATACACGAATCCCAACTTACCTGAACAACCTTGAGGGAACACATGGGGTGTATGTAGGGTAGCTTAAGTGTCCTGGAGAGGTCGAGGATTTCGGGCGTTGGGGCGCGCTAGGACCGGGAGTAGGCCCTTTTTTCCTTTTGTTAGGGTTGGGGTTCCCTTATAATCCCCTTAAAACCAAAAAGGGCACCCTTTTTATTCCTAGGTTGCTCCCGGGTCTAATAGGGTTTAGGGCTTAACCTTGAAGGCCATTAAAGTTTTGAAGGTTTTGTTTTGTGTTACTTGGGTTTAATGATTTTGATCTTTGTACCCATGCACTCTGAACAAGCTCTTAGCTAGGTAGGCCCTTTGGGAAACGTTGTCCCTTACTGGTTTCAGAGGGTCCTATGTAGGAATACTTTTCAGAGCTAAACCCCTTTAAGCCCTAAACCCTAAACCCTAAACCCTAAACCCTAAACCCCGAAGCCAGAGGCTGATGGCCCAGCCGATGAAGCTGAGGAGGCCCCTGGTCTTCCTGCTCCGGGCTTGGCGTTTTGGGGTTTGGGAGTGTCAGGGTTTAGGGTTTGGGGTTTAGGGTTTCAGGTTTCAGGGTTTTGGGCTTTTGAGGTTTCGAGAGTTTCTGGGTTGAGGGTTTCAGGGTAGTTGGGTGTTTTGGCTTGAGAGTTGCAGGGCTTCGGGTTTCAGGTAGAGGGTTTGAGGTTTTAGGGTTTTTTGGTGTTTTTGAAAGGGGGGGGGGGGGGGGGTTGAGGGTGTTTTGGAAGGTTGTAGGGGATGAAACCGTAAACCCTGCACCCGAAATTGGATCAAGCAAGAGTTCAGGGCTGGCTTAGCTGACTGGGCTCAAGAAACCCTTCAGTTCTTAAGGTACCCCTTACCCAAACACCCTGAATCAGCTTCTGCAAAGCGACACTACACACCCCTGCAGCCCATCCATAAACCCAAACTCCTAGACTCCCTCCATCCGAGGCAGATGGCCCAGATGACCAAGCCGCGGAGGTCGCCCGCCTAAGGGACTCTGGAAAGCACTTGAGTTTAGGCTTTGGAGTTTAGGGTTTAGGGTCTTGGGTTGAGGGTTGAGGGTCTAGGGCCTACAGGGTTGAGGGTTTGGCGTCTGGGGCTTAGGGGTTGCGCAAGGTAGAAGGTTTTGGGTTGATGGCTCATATGGCTCAAAGTTGAAGGTTTAAGGTTATTCTGGCTAGTTGGTTCCTTTTCGGGCGCGTTGCATCATGGCATTCTCTACCAAGAGCCTGTCGTTTTTGCGGCCTGTCTCCACTCTCGACAAGCATCCTCCTCCCTGGGTCGTTTAGGGTTTAGGTTTTAGGGTTCAGGGTTATAGGGTTATAGGGTTTAGGGTTTAGGGTTTAGGGAATTGTCCTTCGCATCGCCCACGAAGCGTGCCTCATAGATGAGATCTGTATAACTTGGTAGCCCAGTGGTACCCTTTTCCCTTTTTTTTGGTTCTGGTTCCCTTATAAAGTAACCAACCTGAACCCTAAACCCTAAACCCTAAACCCTAAACCCTAAACCCTAAACCCTAAACCCTAAACCCTAAACCCTAAACCCTAAACCCTAAACCCTATAAACCCTAAACCCTAAACCCAGGGTGCCCTTATTTTCATATGGTTACTGGGCTACTAAGATAATGTGAAGGCGAAGTCTGAAGCGCGAGAAAGCACTTTGGTAGTTCTCTAAATGAGGTTCCCCTTTTTGGGTCCCCATACAGTACGGCACCTTGTAAAAAGGATCCTTCAAAGGGATGCTAATTTAGAGAACTACCCAGAATATGGGAAGTTTTGTAGAGGTTTCCGGGCAAGCGTTCATCACCAGGTCGTCTATGGATAAGAATCGACGCCGGCCCCAAATAAAGGGCTACGCCGGCTACGCCATTGATCTTTTCCTGGTACTGTGAGGGTGTAGGATGCCAGGATTAGAGAGTACGAGGGTATGAGGGTATTCCTAAAGGATCCTTGTACCTGCATAGTATATACTTGGGCCACCATGACATAGGAACTCCGAGGAGGCTCAAGTACCTACTATAGCTATGTGGACCCTTTGGGATAGGCTGTAGAGTACGCTGTGCACTCCCTAAACCCTAAACCCTAAACCCTAAGCCCTAAGCCCTAATTAAGCCCTAAGCCCTAAGCCCTAAGCCCTAAGCCCTAAGCCCCAAACCCTACACCACATTGTGCCAAGCGTGGATTGGACCCGGGCACCCAACACATCCGCGACCCAGGCAGCACAGCCCTTGGATCCCAGCAGAGGAGACAATGACGCTTGAGGAACAAAAGGTTTTAGGGTTAGGGTTTAGGGGTTTAGGCTTTAGGGTTTAGGGGTTTAGGGTTTAGGTGTTTAGGGGTTTAGGGTTTAGGGTTTAGGGTTTAGGGTTTAGGTGTTTAGGGGTTTAGGGGTTTAGGGTTTCGGTCTTAAACCCAGACACAACGCACCCCCGGGCCTGGACAAAGAGCCAGAGCCGCCTCGCTGACCACGCCTGTCGTCACGCTTTTGGGGTTAGGGTTTTAGGGTTTAGGATTTTGGGTTTAGAGTGCACCTAGATGTTGTGGGGTGGCTTTTGGGGTTTTGGGTTTAGGGTGTCGGATTTCGGTGTAGAGTGCACCTAGAATTTCTGGGGTAGCTTTTGGAGTTCAGGGTGTCGGATTTAGTTTCTAGGTTACACCGTACAGGGAAATCTACCGTACTCACCCTACGCATGCTCGAAGGCTCGCAGAGGTCTCAGAGTTACCCTAAACAGGAAACCCCTAAACCCCTAAACCCTAAACCCTAAAACCCTGCCTAGACCTGTCAAAACCCTGAATAACGCGGGACGATATGCAGGAACCGTGCTCGCAGGAGATGTTGCTTTAAAAACGGGTTTCTCCCGGTTTCTTCCACGTCTAGGTAAACCCTACACCCTAGACCCCAACCCTAAACCCTCAACCCTAAAGGCTTTTGTCAGGCTGGTCCGAGCCTTATCTTGCAGCGAGCAAAATGCATCGTGACCAGGCGTGTCTTGGGGTTAAGGTTTAGGGTTTAGGGTCTAGGGTCTAGGGTTTAGGGTTTAGGGTTTAGGGTTGGGGAGATTAAAGGGTTCAGAGTTTAGGGCTTCGGGGTTTTCTGGTTGCCAGGGTTTTGAGGCGTTCGGGTTTATTGGGTGTTCTTGCACTTGGGGCCTTGGGCTTGCAAAGCCCTGACATTCGGAGCCGTAAACACAAAGAACACCCTCGCAACCCTACAAGAGCCGCACTAACATGCACATCAAAAGCTCATGTCTATCCTAAACCCTAAACCCTAAACCCTAAACCCTAAACCCTAAACCCTAAACCCTAAACCCTAAACCCTAAACCCTAAACCCTAAACCCTAAACCCTAAACCCTAAACCCTACAGAAGGGCCTGTCATGGGGCCTGGGTTTTTGCAGGCATATTTTCAGGGTTGCTTGCATGCTTCGGAAGGCCCTTATGAATTCATGTAACCCGTCGTTACACCAGCACGCGCCTTATGCCCTACACCCCGAGCCTTCTACAAAGCCAAACAAACCAAAAAAACCAAAAGAACCAAAAAAACCAAAAAAAACAAAAAAACCAAGGATTTCCACACTACTCTGAAACCTTCGGACTAGTGTGAAAATCCTTGGTTTTTTTGTTTTTTTTGGTTTTTTTGGTTTTTTTGGTTTCCGCTGCAGGTGGCGCACTCGGACAACTCCCTGCGACTGCTCCTTTGGGTTGGGTTTGGGGTCTATGTAAACATGACTATTGTATAATATATCTTATGCTATGCTTCCGATGGGTCCAGCTGCTTATAAGCAAGCCTTCTGCTTATAAGCAGTCAGACTGCTTATAAGTCATACTTCTGCTTATAAGCACCGCCTAGCTATTCTCTTTTACGTTACAGGTCTGGCTTTTCTTGCTATGCACCTCGGCTGCACTGGGTGTTTCTTCTTTGATTTTTTTGCGACTAGACTTGGACACGACGGACTGCGTAACACAAGGCCTTGAGCTAAGACTTCGAGCCACGACTTATATTCGAAGGCATGTGGCTATAGCATATGCACGTAGCTTGTCCAGTTGCGCTTAGCCTAGCCTGAATATGAAGCGCTCTGCCCACGTTGCCGGCATCGCGAACATCCAAAATGGCATCATCAGCCTCCAGCTCGAGAACCTGTCCCTTCGGCCTTCTCCCGCAGCCTCCTCGCCTCCTTACGCCTCGCGTCCTTCCGCATCGCCTTCTTCCGCATCGCCTCCTTCCGCATCGTGCTCACCCCCTCTCATTGTCGATGTCTTGGCCAAGATTCAGGATGGCACCTACACCACACACGAGAGCAAGCGGGACCTCACCGGACGGCAGATCTTCAGCCATCTTTGCTATCTTCAACATCGGCACAGCCTCCAGGTGGGACTCAAAGGCGACTGGAACCCAACGGCCGAGGCCGCTTTGCAGGTGTGGTTGAGCTCGCCCAAAAAAGGCTTCAAACAGCAGGCCGATGAGAGGACTTTGGCCATCACGGACGCGCCAGCTACCTCAACACTGGCTATCGTAGACACCCCAGACACAAAGAACTTGGCCATTCAAGAGACCCCGGACCCCAAGACTTCGACGACTGTGGACAATAACAAGGACAACACAAACGACGACGGCGCTGCCCCTGCATCCTCTTCGGGCTCTTCGTCCTCCGGCTCTTCGTCCTCCTCCAGTTCGTCAGGGTCAGACTCATCCATGCCTAAGACCAAGAGGGGCTTGCGTGCACGTGTAAAAAAACTGGAGGCGACGAACTCCCAGTTGAAAGCCGCTCTGGAAGAGACTACAGAGGATCTCTTCTGGGCTAATGATGCTCTGGGGGCTAACCGACCCTAGAACAGTCTGCAATGTACTTCTAGCCGTCTTCCCTTGTACATGGTCTGAGAACAAGCTGTCAAGGAGCCAAATGCAAGCTGTCAAAGCCAAGTGTGCAGGCTGTGCGCGTGTTACAAAAGAGTAGCTCAAGACTTGGTCGTGCAGCGTGTGCACATATCTTTCTGTGGCTAGGTTCAAGTTCCATCCTGTCCGTTCTCGCCGTCCTCTCACCCGCCTGCCATGTCCGTGTGGTCCGCCAAGCCGCCGGCCGACTTCACTCAAGCATGTTGCTTGCGGCTCCATTGGATTTTCGCGCCCTCGACGCCCCGGTGATCCATGCACGAACCTCGGAGCTTGGCAGCTTTGACATGCTACCGCTCAAAGCAGCAACACATTCCACTTCGGTAAAGTCCTTGGTTGAGCTTGTCAAACCGATGTCTGCGGGGGACTTTGATTTCGGACACCTTCATCACCTCATATCCACCGCCAAGTATGAGGACCTTCCCGGCCCCTTGTCTGTGAGCTTTGGCAATGGCATGAAATTCAAGATGCAGCTTGTGGGCCAGCAGTCTTCTGATGGTCAGTGGATTTTCTTGAAGCACTTCATCTTTGAAAACAAGATTCCCGCTCGGCTTCTCAAGACAACTCTCGCAGGGGACCTCCACATCATCGACTACGGCACGAACTTCCGCAGCGGTCTCAAGGGCTTCCAGTATATGTTGGAACATGTTGGCCAATGGAGCGTTATGTGGTTCCAGACTCAGATGAAGGAGCCCAAAACCAAGACGAAAGAAACATCGGATCTGCAGAAAGGCTTCGACTTCATTCGCTCTACGGGCCCTCGGTCCAACATGCACAATCGGCAGACCGAGTGGACCGAAGTTGAGATTCACAAAGAAGACAGTCCCATCTTCGGCTGGTCGGCGGGCTTAGTCAAGGAGTCGCTTCGCGGCTACGCCAACTCCAATGTCTTCGCCGACTGTATCAGCAACTTCTTCGTCACGCTGCACGATCTCCAAGGCTGGTTCCTTCATGATGTTCTTGTTCCTCTCCTGCCCAGCATGAAGTCCAAGACCTTGGTCATGATGGGGCTGGCCGAGAAGGGCAAAACTCCGGCGGCCCAAGCGCTCGCACTCGCCATCTCTGAATACTGGATCTTAGTCGACGACATGGCTTGGGATGTCAAGCCTTCATTTCGTCTTTGCTCCAGCTTGGACCAGCTCCGTGGGGAGCCTGGCAAGAAACATGTTCCGGACATTCTGGACGACCCCGATATGAACGCGGTTCCCATGCCCAAGCTCAAGGCCTTTCTTGATGCCTCCTTAGAGGAGTCCTTCACCGTTGAACGTTGGACCACTTCCAAGTTTGTCCGCAACCAACTTCGCATCCTATGCGACAACAAGATAGACGAGGACGCCGACAAATGGATCTCGCCTGACCAAGGCAGCATTCCCCATGAAGTCTTCTTGGATATCATTGCTCCAGCCTTCCCCGAGAAGTCATCCAGCCAAGATAAAATGGCTTTGTTGAAGCGCTCGCACTGGGTGGTGAACACCAATCGTGCCTGCTATGTTCGCAAGGCTGGCACGGGAACCAGTCCCGTGCCATGCATCCAGTACGAAGGCGGCATCACGGATTTCATTGCCGACTCAGGCAAGGCAATCATAGATCGTATGAAGAATGGCGACAAGAGTCCACCGTCTGATTGGCTGGAGAAGAGGCAGTGGTCGCATAACTTCGTCTCCCTGGTTCTTGAAAAGGGTGGTACTCCGGACCGAACAACAGTCCTTGTCGAGCAGGGTTTGTTTGACAAGACCAAACGCCGTGTCGAAAAGAAGCCCGACCTCCCCTTCTCTGGCCGGGTTGTTGTGGACTTGCAGAGCACAGACCTGGTTGCGCCCGCTGACGGGACCCAACATCCTGCGTCTCGGCCAACGAAGGCTGCCCCATCAACGTGGACTCCCGTGCCCGTCAAGAAGGAGCCAGGCATCTTCGCATCTCTGTCCACGGCTTCCGGTAGTGCTACAATCGATCTGGACTCCCCCAGCCCCCGACCTGCTCAGGCAAAGCGGCGAAGGGATCACGGCGATGGGTCTGAGTCTGAAGATGGCGACGGCCTCCCTCGTGTTGGTGAAGCTCTGGAGGATGAGTGAGCCAAGCACTTTAGATCCTGAGTGAGGCCCTGAGTGAGGCTAAGCTTAGATTTTGACTATGATATGATCCCTGCATCACTCTATGTGAGTGAAGCCTGTGTGCCAACATCGCCCGCCGAAATATGCACTAGTCGCCACTCCTTCGATGTTCTGAGCCATCTCATGCCTCGCATGCTATGTTGTTTCTTTATTCCCTCAGCCACGCCTCCAAGTAGTTCGCCATCGCTGCAGTAGCTAGTCGTCGGTAGTCAGCATGAAGCGTCCGGCCGCCCAAAGCACTTCAAGGATCTTCCGCTCTCATCTCTTCACGTGTATGTGCAAAGGAAACCTTGCAGAAGCTCACAAAGTCGACGCCACCCTCTACGGGATGTCCGGTCCCGAGAAGGTCTCGGTTGTCACCGTCCGCTGTACCTCGTACTCCTGCAGAAGAACGTATGGTCCCAACTTCTACATCGAACAAAGTGAGAAGATCAACACCCTACCAGATGTAGATGCTGCCGGGGAGGCTATATTTCTCAGTCCCAAGATTGGCTTCACGGTGACCTACCTTCGCTACCACATGCTCTTGGAGTTCCGGGCTTTCGCTTCAGCTCGAGCAGCGCTCGATGTGTATAACAGGGTATACGACATCAAACACTGCAGTGTAGGGGGTCACTTCAGAGATGTCCATGGGTCCGCGATCATGTATTTCCTCGCTCTCAGTGAGTATCCGGCCGCATCGATCCCCATGAATTTTGCCATTGGTCAAGAGGCAACCAGTCAATCGATTGAAGCCTACGATCGCTATGTGCATAACCATGCGTTCCCTCCGTCTGACAAGCGGAAGGTCACGGAGATTGTGTGCGACGGCCATGCTAAGGTGCACGTGAAATGCGGCTCCTCGGACAAGAAGCACCCCGGAAAGCCTCGAGCGAACGGCAAACGGAAGCCCTACGGCTACGGCTGGTTCATGGCCGTTGATCCTCGCACTTTACGCGTCCTGGGGGTTTCCTGCCTTCGCCAGCCGGAGGGCAACGAAGTGATGGACGGCATCCTCACACAGCTCCTCCCTAAGTATCCAAAGCTTGACGGGGTCGTTATGGACAGGGCTTGCGCCTTCCTCCCTCACGCAAAGCGCACCAAGAAGTTTGCACAGGTGGGCTATTGGTGTGTTGACTATTTCCACGGTACCAAACACAGTGACCAATGCCCTTGCAACCCCCATCATGTCCGTCGTCTTGACCGTCGCTTTGCTCGTGTAAACACTTCGGCAGCGGAACAGGTCTTTTCCTGGTTCCGCCAGTATGCGAGAGTTCTGAATGAGCTCTCCCCGCACCAGCATCGTCTGAAAGTCTTGGTGTTCTGTAAGCTGCATAATGATGTCTGCCGGGGCGGGCGGCCTGGCTACCTCAGCCAGTTTCCTTACAAACGTAAGAAAGTCTCGAAGGCCTACAGCTGTAGCATGAAGTGCCAGAAGACAGCTCCCAAGAAGCGTCCGGCATGTCGAGTATGAAGGACCTCGAGCAGTCATGCACAGTGGGCAGAACGAGTGGGGAGAAATGCCGTTGCACTGTCTGCATGCTGTGTATGCTGCAAACGTAAGAAAGTCTCGAAGGCCTACAGCTGTAGCATGAGGTGCCAGAAGACAGCTCCCAAGAAGCGTCCGGCATGTCGAGTATGAAGGACCTCGACCAGTCATGCACAGTGGGCAGAACGAGTGGGGAGAAATGCCCTTGCACTGTCTGCATGCTGTGTATGCTTCCCTTGCGGTTTCAATGCATCCAAGGTATTTCAACGACGACTATGTCCTCCAGAGTCCCAGACGATTTGATATGTAAATACGCATGTACCCAAATAGTGGGGTTGGATATACCCAAATAGTGGGGTTGCAAAAACCCAGGCCCCATGGCAGGCCGCTCTCAAACCCTAAACCCTAAACCCTATAAACCCTAAACCCTAAACCCTGAACCATTAACCCTAAGGGCCTCTTGCGCCGAGAGTTCCTGCAAGTGAACATGCAACCCAAAACCTTGTGGAAGTCTTAGGGGGTGTAGGAGTCATATTGGTAGGGTTTAGGGTTCAGGGTTTAGGGTTTAGGGTTTAGGGTTTAGGGTTTAGGGTATCGGAGTCATATTGGTTGGTGGTCTCTTTAAGTAGGGTTTCTGTTTTGTAGGGGGGGGGGGTCTTATTAGGGTATCTAGGGGCTATACTAAGGTATAAGGGCAACAGATAAAGAGGCCACCGGCCTTTATAAGGTAAAGGCATACAGCATATGGTTTCGGCTTAGGGTCTGGGTCTGCCCCGTAGTGTGGTCCTGGCTCGTTTTAAAGGGTTCTGAGGTACTTTCAGGATATATAAGTGTCCCTTTTAAGGGATCATGAAACTACGCTAAGAGAGTTTGCACTTCTTGTGGCCATATCCTGCCTTGAGTACAGCTGACTTGTGGCCCATGTCTAGCAGAGCACAAAACCACCTCTCTTCTTCACCAGTGTCTGGTGTCTGAAGGTGTGGAAGCATTGGAGACAGTCACCCTAAACCCTATACCCTAAACCTAGGAAAGATAAGGGCCCCAGGTTGCACGGTCCCTCAAGAATGCCAAGCGCGTGAATACAAATTTCGCAGCCCCGACAAGGATGCAACACACGACATCGTCTTCCCGCAGTGCTTCATTTACACCGGGTGCTTCGCAGAGCATTCCAGGCAGAGTCAGGTTCCCTACATTATCAATTTCTCTTAAAGCGGGGTGAAGGTACCGAAGTCCCCAATTCCCAACTAAGAGGTACGTAGAGGGTTTAGGGCCTAGGGTCTAGGGTCTATGCTTTAGGGGGGAGATTTCGATGTGCGCGCGCTTCTTGGCTCCTTGCCCCAGACTTGGGCGGCTTTCTGTACAGCTCGGGCCGCTCCAAGCAACCAGGACGTTCAACTTACTGGGGTATTTTGAGTAATCCTGCCTTCCCAAGAACCTTCAGTGCTACTCCTCGAACCCCTAGGCTCTCTACTCTGTGAATCATGGGGTCGATACCCCTGAGCTAAGTAAGACGAGTTTGGGCGTTGGCAACCCGAGACACTGAATCTCCCAAGCGCAGAATAGCGGTGTCTTGTTAAAGAACTGTTCTCAAGTACAGTCCCCCTTTAGAGGTATTACAACCAGTAATTAGGCAGAATCCTTCACAGAATATCCCCAAGAAGCACCCTAACCCCAGAACGCACCGGATACATGAACACAAACTTAGCAGACCTGTCTCAACCTCCATCAAGTAGTGGACTGCAAGCCTTGTACCCGGAAGCCCCCGACCTTATATAATTTAAAGCCGCAATGCGTAAACCCTGACCGTGAGGATTCCAATAGAAAGGATTGCACAGAAGAACCCCAAAAAGCAAGGCACACCATGTGGGCAATGGCCTTGCCAGCAAAACAGCCTCCTTATGGCTTTCTTGGCCCTTGTTAAATCTGGGGGGACCCTAAACCCTAAACCCTAAACCCTAAACCCCAAACCCTAAACCCTAAACCCTAAACCGCTCTCTAGAAGCGGTGTATCGGCTGCTCCTCAGCAGCCCCTAAACCCGATCCCTGAACCCTGAGCTTCCACCCGAATGACTCAGCCCGCGGACAAACCCCAAATGGGTTTAGGGCTTAGGGTTTAGGGTTCAGGGTTTAGGGTTTAGGGTTTAGGGTTTAGGGTTTAGGGACCCTATAATCCCAAAACTCTTCCTCCTTACACCCATTAAACACTTGAACAATTAACCCTTTTGTCTTTTCAACCCGTAAACTCTTAAACCCTTATGGCCCTTAAACCGATAAACTCCAAAACCGTTAAAACCCTTAAACCCTTAGGCCCTTTGAACCCTTAAACCCTTCAGCCCTTAAGCCCTGTAGCAGGCTCCCTGAACCACCCTAAACCCTAAACCCTAAACCGTGGCTGAGCGCGCGAAGCGTGGAACATGCTTCGCCCGGACGAGGGCGATGAGCCGAGACCGGCGGGTCCAGCGGAGGCGGATCGCAGTTTAGGGTTTACGCTTCCCCTAACCCCTAAACCCTAAACCCCAAAGCCTAATCCCAAACCCTAAACCCTAAACCCTAAACCCTAAACCCTAAACCCTAAACCTATAGACCCTAAACCCTAGGGTCAGGGATTCCCAGCCCTCTATTAAACCCTGAACTACTCTCGGGATTTCGGCTTGGAGTTCAGGATTTGGCACGAGCAAGCTGTCCCCTGTCGCTCAAATATCGGACTCTACCTCCAAACCCTCATTCTAAGGGTACTTAGATGCCCCAGCATGGGCGTATGGGCCCTGAAAAGGGTACCCCTTACATGCCCCTTATGTACCCTGTACAAATTAAGGGCCCTTACATCAGAACCCTTTTGAAAGGAGGTTAGGGACCACATTACGGTCCCATTACACTCAGACTCATATAAACCCTAAACCCTATAAACCCCTAAAACCCTACACCCCCAACCCCTAAACCCCTATAAACCCTACACCCCTAAACCCTAAAACCCTAAGATGCTAAAACGCTCAACTCCCCTACGCCGCCAGCTGCAGGCGCCCGCCGCTGAGCCCGCAGATGCCCTCGCCGAGCCTATTGAGGCGTTGCTGTCAGGCACGGGGTTTCAGGGTTTTAGGGTCTTAGGGTTTAGGGTGTAAGGTTTAGGGTTTATAGGGTTTAGGGTTTAGGGTTTAGGGTTCGCGGGTCTTCGGGTTCTGGAGTTCTAGGTTTTAAGGGTTGTAGGGTTCAAGGGTCTAGGTTTCCAGAGTTTGGGTTGCCGGTTTTGGGGTTCGGGGTTTTGAGGGTTGCAGATTTCAGGCGCTTAGGGTTCAGCATTCTAAGGCCTCAAGCGGTTTTCTTATGGCTGCGTAGATTGGTGGCTCTTGCGGGGGCTGAAATTCTACAACCTGCGAAGTCCACGAGTCCAGTCGAAGAAGGAACAAGGAGACGACTCCACCCGAGGGTGTCTTGCTCTTGACCACCCTAAATACCCTAAACCCCTTCGGCATCCTACGTTACCGGACAACCTAGC